CTCTCTCTCTCTCTCTCTCTCTCTCTCTCTCTCTCTCTCTCTCTCTCTCTCTCTCTCTCTCTCTCTCTCTCTCTCTCTCTCTCTCTCTCTCTCTCTCTCTCTCTCTCTCTCTGACGGATACCGTTGCTCAACCAGATGTAAGCAAGATGATCGCGGTCTTTTTATAAGATATTAAAATTCTTGGAAATCCATTAAGACATGCGAAACGTCATCGCGAGGTATATACGCAGCATGGTTGGTAAAAACTACTCCGTTTCAACGGAAACTCGTTAAGGCCGTCCTCTAATTGCAGAAAATCAATCTTGCGAAGTTGCACGAGCGGGAACATCGCTTTTCACCGACACGCACAAAATCGCGTCGTTAGTCTCTGTAATTATAGAGAGAGAGAGACAGTCTAGGCCGGGGGGAAGAGCTCGTTTCGACTCGATCCAATGCGCAATTTTATATAAGTTATTCGAGAATGCATCCTGCGAAGTTTCATCAACAGAATCTTTGATCAACTCATAATTGATTTTTTTACAGGAAAAATTCAATTGTGTGTCATACTTTTAGTATATTTTTAGCACGCAAAAATCTTGATACCTAAAATCGGACGATCCAGATTTTGTTAAAATAAAATTAAAGTTAAATTATGAATAGAGATTGCATATTGTATGATTCATAAAAAACACATGAAAAGAATTCATGAAAAATTCATGTTCAATATATAATATTTTAGGAACGTTTTTATATTTTCTTTATGTGAACCGATATCAAGTCCAATTCATAGATATTATTCGTAACACGTTACACCAACACCATAATCTTGATGTGTAACACGCGATTTTGTAAATTACGCTGTAAATTAAACGATAAGAATGAGTGAATTAAAATGTTAAGGATCTGCATTCGTACGTAAAATTAAAACTCAAAGAAAATATTGAAATCGATAGAAAACGCTCATTTTCTTGTCCGCGTTTCTTCCAAGTGCCAATCCATTTATCGAGACGTAATCGATAGCTTTGCTCTTGTTGAATTCACGCCGAAAGCAGGTTCGTAACGCGCTGCGGAGAGCGTGTAATTGAAAGTAGCTGACAAGCGGTCAAATTCAGCAGTAGCAGTTCAAACAGCAGTTACATGTAATTTTCGCTGCCGACACGGTTACACAAGATTCCAGTGTTGCGAGTCCGCAATACATACAGACGCGTAGATGCGTTTACATAGTACGTACGATTTCCATTTCCATTTTCACGCGTAATTCACGTGTTGAATGAAGAAAGCAATTTTATGGAAGAAAATTTCGCAGATTATGCAAACAGCTTTTTAGGTATCGGTGAAATATGAAAATATAACATGATGAAGAAAAAATATATATAGTATAAATATAAATAAATATATATATATATATATATATATATATATATATATAATAATTATAAAATATATATTATTTAGCATTGATAGAAAATAAACTTAGTTATACTTGTAGCGCAGTTTGCTTCATTCAATTCCTGGAATAACATGATTTCGCCTATAGAAATAATAACATGCTGCATGATCATTGTTGTTCAATTTGATATACAACGTACATGAATTGTGTATTCTATTTTGCGCACATGCATCAACGTCTGTTTCAACGAAGTTTAATTAACCATAACGAAATTGCCAGGCGTACGGTTCGCTTAGAAATTACAAACTAACA